ACGGACCCGCCGGCCCACACGGCAGACCACCGGGCAGCCCTTCCCGAATGAGGTGCACCTCCAAGCCCTCCGCGGGAGTGCAGGCGCAGAACCCCGTCCGGGGCTAAGCGTCTGCACAGGCGGTTGGAGCACAAGGAGAGGACCCACAGCTGATCCCGGACAGAGCAGCAGGTCCCGTCCCCCTGAAGCAGGGAGCCCCACTTCATGGGAAACAGTGGAGGGGGTGCTTGATCGGGACTTTACCTCAGAAAGGGAAACCAGAGTTTATCAAAATAACCTTCTCTATCTTACATTTAACAAAAATTCGTTGATATTATAAGCACATGCTAATCCTTATACGAAATAAAAACGCCTGTGTTGATTTTTTTCTTCAATGGCTGCACAATAGCAATAAAACACGAGCCCCCTCACGTTTGGAAAACTATCCCAGGGCTTTGCCAGTGTTTGTTTTAACCCTTTGATGCCCAAACCGCCCTTTCTCCATGCAGTGGTCCCCGAGCCGACGCTCCGGCTCTGGCAGTTAGCCAGTTCCGCCCCGGCACTTCACGGGTGGCTCCCGGGGGCACACACGGCTTGGCTGCACCGTGTGTGTGTACACACAGCATCACATGCTTAACCTCCGACCACCGAGCGAAGCCTGGCAAACATTCAGGGCAGGGAGGGATGCTAAATGAGGAGGGGTTTCATAGGTGAGGGACAGATGGTTACGGGGTATTAAGTTTTATATTTTCACCCTATGAAACCTCCTGACAATGAGGACTGTGAGGTGCTCAAAAGGAACACTTGCGCACCCACCAAGGCTGAGACACGAGGAGTCGCCGTGTCTTTGGGATCGCAGGACGCTCCCCTCTCCCTCTGCAGAGACTGCCCCCCAGTGCCACGCCGTGACCCACTCAGCTTCCATGCTTGTGCTTTGTATGATGTACCCTCAGGCAATACATTGCTTTTTTGTTCTTTCAAACTTTACTTAATAGTATTGCACCAAATGTGTCCTCCCGCTGCAGAACACTATGTTGCAGTTTATCTACGTGGATATGTGTGCTTTCGCGCTCGGTTCATTTTCACGTCTCATTATGTCCCATCACCTAAGAAGACTGTGACTGATTTTTCTCCTGCTGATGGACATTTAGTTTGTTTCCATTTTTTTCCGCTCCAAACAATTCTGCAATAAACATTCTAGTATGACTTCTTGCACACGTGTGAGTTTCTCGAGGGCAATGCAACTCTCAAGAGTGGCCTGTGGCCTGGCATGAATCCACACCAGGCCATGACCAGGTGAGCCCAAAGACGGAGAATAAACACTTAGAAGACTGAGCAATTTGATGCTGCTGTGACGTCATTACCGTGTCTTTTAATGAGGCCAGAAATTTTACAAACTGGTCCTTCACCGCAGACAGTCTGAGCAGCACAGCTCTGGGGAACGATCGAGCAGAGAAACCACCGGGTTGTAAGATGCCAGGGCATCCCCCACTTGCAGAGACCACCAAGCTGCTCTCCACGGGAACCGTACCGACTTACATGCTCACCTGCAGCCTCCGAGAATCCCTGCTGCTCCACGTCCGCCTCAGCTCTTAGAAATGACAAAGGTTTCAACTGAGGGCTTGGCTTGTCCCCTGCACTCCTGTTGGCATTGTTTGACCTCCCCCACCTAAGAGCCGAAGCTCAGGCACCCACCTTTCCTCATCTGTGCAACTCCAGAGCCACCTTTTCCGACGGTGCCAATCAGGAAGTCGAAAGCCATCTCCTTGGCTTTGAGGTGGAGGAGCTGGCTGGCCTCCACAAAGCGCCTCGTAATGTCCAGGGGGTTGGCGTCTACTAAAGGAATCAACAGAGGCAACTCATTTCCCTCCAGCACGGGGCTAACGCTTCCAGAAGAGGACCTCCATACACGGTCCAGGAAGTAAGGGGGAGCGGAGACCTACTCCCAGGAGAGTGAGCGTGAGGGGGCCTGATTTGAGGACCTCGGGCTCCCAAGACCTGTCAGGTGGCACCTTGCCTTCTGCCCCCCTTGCCCTCCTCTCTTCCTACCCACAGGCCTGGGGACCGATGCTGTTGGCACTCAGATAACTCAGAATCCCTTACGGATGCAGCTCTAGGTCCTTGATCTCGGGATGACACCCTCACTGCGGACAGATCCCAGTACTCACGACTCTCCTGGTTCTGGCTCCACTTGGCTATCTCGCTACCCACCCTCCAGCCCTCCCGGCTCGCCCTTTCCCTGGGGTGCTGCTGCTCTCCACCTCTGCATGGGTTCCACAAACGCCACCCTCCAGTACCTCTGCCCTCCCACTGTTCTCATGGCCAACCTCTCAACCTGGCCTGGCAAAGCTGGGGGAACGGGAGGAAAAGAGAACAGAGGGAGTGAAAGGATGATTCTTGAGGGTGGCTTCGGGAAGGAGTTCAGCTGCAAAGCTGACCCTCGTCTGACACCTCTTCACAGCGCATCCTCACATACCTGTCTCGGCATGGGTGTGCGGTGGACACAGACACGTGTCCAGGCCAGCGCTTCCCGGCCCAGAGAAAATGCGACTCCGGCGCGCCAGCCTTGCCAGACTTACCTGACACGGACTCCACCATGGCCTTCATCTTCAGGGTGAGGAGCTCTGTCAGCAGGTGGATGGACTGCCGCTGGAACCTGCGCAGGGTCTCCTGGCTGGAGGCCGCCCGGTGGCTGTGGCTGTGGCTGTGGCTGTGAGAGTGGGTGCGGAACTTGGCCGGCCCCGCGGATGCGGACAGCTTCGGCAGCGGGAGCACCGGCGGGGGTGGCTTCTTCTGCGTGGGGGCCTGCACGGGGGCTGGTTCCACAAGCATCATGGGCGGGGCTCCAATGCTGATCTCCAGGCCCAGGATGTCAGATGGGGTGGGGATCATGGGGTCGGTGATCAGCTCCTCCCAGGTGAACTCAAAGATGTTTCTGATGCCCTTGGGTACAGAGATGCCGGCGTTCCGGCAGACGAGGAGCAGCCTGGAGATTTGCGCCAGCAGCCTGGGGGCCGTGGCGGTGCATTGCTGGTACAGGTTTCGGGTACTCTTGCCGTCATTCATGCTTCCAGGGCATGTGTGCCGCTAGGTGACCCTGTCCATCGCAGACAAGGAGACCTTCAGCAGTAAGGAGGCCTGGCACACCGACAGCTGCACACGGAGCCCAAGTTCTACTAAGGCAAGGCCTTGGGGACAGACAGGATGGAAGTGCTGGCACGGCCCTTACAGGTCATTGAGCCAGTGCAGCCTGTCCAGGAGGATAAAGAAATATTTGGTCACTCTCCCCACGGAGGGCAAAACGACACCCCTCCACATCAGAGACCACGTTAGCGAGTCACCACGGGGAAGAGCAGGCTCCCCAAACAGTTCAGGGACAGTCGCATAAACGGGGTGCCTCTGGAGGGGCCCTGGGCAGGAGGAGGGGAAAGGACGGGGAAGGGACGGGGGTTCCCACGCACCTTCTGCAGTCAGAGAGCTGAGGGTGGAAGACCTGCTTGTGGTCTATCAATGAAAACCTGCAAAGACAAAAGACGTTTCCTTGGTTTTCTCCAGAGGAAGATGACATGGGAGCTCCTGGCTGCATGGCAATGGAAACGACAAGGACAGTGACTTTCCTGAATTCCACGACCAGTATCATTTACCACAAACCATCGAATCTAGAACCTGATGTAATTTATCGTTAAGATGAACCCTTTTAGGAGAAAGAAAAAAATCAGCGTAAGATGCCATTGACCGTAGGACACATCCCAGTGTCAGAGAGGTTCAAGCGGGAACACATGTCCCTTAAAATCGACGAGAGAAAAGACCTCCCCACGTCAGCAGAGCTTCTAGAGGGGCCTGAGACTCCGTCAATCGGGCAGACGTGGCAGCAAGGTTAGCAAACGCCATCAGGCGGTGGTTTTTAAGCTGATGTATTTCTAAACTGTGTTTTATTCTTACCTTCTTAACGCGCACCAAAAACAGACCACTGGTGGGAGAGGGAGTGTGGACACCCTGATGAGCACAAAGACGGCTAGAAAGATCCAGAGACGGACATCCAGGGCTCCGTAACCAGACCTGAAAGCTTCATCCACCGGGTCAAAGTGGGCCCCACGAGGACGCTCTTCAGTAACGTGTCAGCACAGCCACACGGGCAAAAACGCTTACGTTTAGCGCCTCTTGATCGTGTGCTACACAGAAATGATTTCTTTCTTTTAATCCCTGAGGGGCTTTGTGAGAATAGGAGCTGCTGTAAAGGATGCTCGAGAATCCAGAACACGTAGGAAAGGCTGATCTGAGGGAAGCTGAGAGCAGAGCAGGGCGGGCTCCTCCGTCGCCTTTGCCAGCATTTCCACGCGGGGTGGGCCAGCTGCCCGCTGTCTGACCGAGGCGGCCCCAGCAGCACACCAGGCGCGTCGGCTGTTAGGGCAGAGGCTGCTGGCTGGGCGTCGAACACCCCTTGTTACTGCAGACTTCCAACCATCAGCTCTACCACCTTCCATCCTGACCCCACACCCACTACGTCCACGGCCCTTTCCTCCCTTCAGTCCTCATCCTTCTGCCCTTACAACCACGTCCTCTGGAGCCACCCCAAGTGTGCGACCCCAAGACCGTGCCCCGGTGCACACCCTCAGCATTCACAGAACAGGCGCACGGCCACGATCTGGCGCGGCCACCCTGGGTGAGGAGGCTGACGTCTCTCTGGTTCCCCTGACGAGGAATTGGAGGCTTACAGAGACAGGGCTCGTGGTCGGGCGTCACCTGCCTGCAGAACCCAGCACAGAGGCCTCTGCAAGCAGGACGTGACTCCGCCAGGCCTGCGAGCCGCCTGCCCACCTATCAGCAACAAAGCCTCCAAGGAACAAGAGGCCCATAGAGCAAAGCCTTCTGACATCCAGCTGGTCTGCAGATTAAGTGGCTTTCTACGACCATTTGCTGACCCCCGGCATCTCTATTCCTCAGCTTCGGAGACACAGAAAAATAGGTTCATTTTTGAAATGATAAATCTACAGAACAAAGAAACCATTCAGAATCTCGGTCATCTGGGCAACCAGCCAGAGAGATCTGACCCTGACCATGCAGGGCAGACTTGTTTTAAAGCCAGGACTCAAATGAAGAGAAGACGAATACAATCCTTGAAATGTTAAGTGGTGTGAGGAGCTCCCCCCTCCCCCGGCAGTGTCCTTCTTCTGAGGTTAATTTTGAAGATTGTCTTACAGATAAAAAAGCTGGTTGTTAGAACAGCTTTATTGGGATATAATTCACATACCATCATAATGCACCCTTTTAAAGTATATGGAAGTTTTAGTACATTCACAGCCGTGTGGCCGTCATCACCACCTAATTTTAGAGCCCCCCACCCCCACCCCACCCAGAGAAGCTTGTTAGCGGTCACGCCCCGGCCCCCCCTCGGGCCCCCCCCACAGGTTCCTCCGGGACGGTTCACGTAACGGCGTCACACGAGGCGTGGCGTTCTGTGGCTGGCTGCTCCCCCTTGTCCTGTCGAGGTTCGTCCGTGCTACAGCACGTCCCTGTGTCAGTACTTCATTCATACAGTACCTCACCACAGGAGAGAACACAATGTGTTGATCCGCTCAGTACGTGACGCTCCCACTGTCTGGCTGTTGTGAATAGCGCTGCTGTGAACACTCAGGGACAAGTTTTCGTGTGGACAGATGCTCACATTCTCTCAGGTTACAGCCAGGAATGGAATCGCTGGGTCATGAGTACCTGAGCGTTGAACATTTTCAGGAACTGCCAGGCTGGTTTCCAGAGTGGCTGCACCACTTTATAGTTCTTTCACAAACCACGGATGAGGTGTAAGGCTCCCCACCTCCTCCCTTGTGCCTGTCTCTTTGTTTCCCAGAGCGGGTGGCGCGGTGTCTCGCTGTGCGTTTGCTCTGCACTTCCCCGGTGGCCAGAGATGCTGGGCATCTTCTCGTGTTTACTGGCCAACTTACACCCTCCTTGGGGAACAGTCTGTTCCGACCTAAAAGCCGTTTGTTTTTTAGAGAAATGTCATTTTAAATTAAATACAAAAATAACCTTTATTTATTATCATATATTCATCTCTTCGAAATTCAGCTACAGTTGACCGTGTGACTACATTCTACCCTGCGAGACGAAGGTGGAGCTGTTGGGTGGGACCCTGGAAATCTTTCCAGAGGTGTCTGTCTCCACAGAGAGAACTTTTTTTCCTTACTCACCGCCCTTTTCTTTCTTCTTGTCTAGAATGGATGAGATAGCTGCAGCTTGGCAGCCATCTGGAGCCATGAGGGTACAGTGAGGACGGAAGCCATGCATCAGAGGAGAGCAAGAGAGCCCGGCCTCCTGCTCCCATCGTGACACCCCCACACCAGCACTTCAACACCTGCCTCCAAACTTGGGATGAGCCCCTAGTCCTTCTAGGCCATTTCATTCAGGCCTCTTTCCCTGCAGTCAAATGTGACTCCTGACAGCCAGCTGTGCTGGGACAACGCCTCTCCCTCCTTCCCACACGTCCAGCTTTCATTCTGCCAGCCATGCATTCTTCCATCACTGAGACACGGGCCTTGCCCTCAAGTAGTCCAGTATTTAACAGGCAGAAGAGACTTACAAAACTGATTTATGAAATCACCAGGGTCACACTACAGAAAAATGTACAAAGGCCATGAAAACTGAAGACAGAAGTCTAAAGGAAGCCACACTGAAGGCTTTCAGAAAAGATGAGTATGAATTTGCCAGGCAGGTAAGGAGGAGAAGGCATTGTTGGCAAAAAGAACAGTATGTGCGGAGGAACGGAGACATTTAAAGCATGGCGGGTTCACAGAGCCGCGAAACCCATCAGTAAGGCTGGAGTTTGGGGGTCTGTGGGAGAGGGAGCAGACGAAGACGGAAAAGGGGTCCAGAACCAGATCGCGAAGGGCCTGTATGCTGTGCTGAAGAATCCGCGTTTGTCCTGTAACGATACACTCAACACGGGCACCCAAATGTACTGTCTTTAAGTGCCGGTTGCGTGCCATGTGGTCTCATCTCTGCAAGTGGAGGGCAGGCACCACGTCATCTTCTGCTCTTACAGTCTCCACGATGCTAAGTATGACGCTAGGTGAGCCGCCACGTGCCAGGAAATAAAAATATTTGTGGCATCAGAGTCCAGCAGACAGCTAAGAGACCCCTGCAGACGGCTGCAGACAAAGCTTCAATTAACAGTTCCCACAGAAACGTGAGAAGATGGTGGGAGACGCTTACAAAGGCTATGGAAGAGGCCCACGGGCCCAGCGTCTTCATTCAGCGACCTGCTGCCTGTCCCCTCCAAGCGGGCTCGGGGCAGGACAGAGATGAGGGAGGGGCGCGCACGCACAGGCCACAGTGACAAGTCAGGAAGGGGCAGAAGGGGAGCCCAGAAAAGGCAGGTCACTGGCGGCTAAGAGCCCGGGCCGCACCGCCTTGAGCCCAGCACTGTGGACACCAGGCCCCGCCTCCCAGGACCGTGAGGACTAAGTGAGGTCACGGGCGTTCAGGGCTGGCACGGTGCCCAGCACAGAGCTAAGTGTTCAATGAATGTGAAGTAGAGAAAGATAATTATTTGAAGTGGTTGAAGGAGGCTGCACAATGGCAAGGACAAACTGGTGCGGAAGTAGAAGCTGACTAGTGAACGAGGAGGGGCAGGAAGAGCGCTCCGTTGATGGGAACGGCGCTCGTTCAGCCTGCAGGCTCTCAACAGCCTGGCATGTTTAGGGAACTGCGAGTAACTAGGGGACGCTCCAGGTTACAGGGAGAGGGGTTGTGTGGAAGGGGCGGCAGCGGTCTGCAGAGAGGAGCTGGTGTGAAAGGCTGAACCTGGACTTCATCTTACCAGCGACGGGAAACCACAGAAGGACGGCCAGCGAAGGCGGCACCTGTATTTCAGGAGCCGGCAGTGTAGTGGGAAGAGCCTGGGGTGTGTGGCTGTGGTGGGGGCTGACCAAGGTGGGAACTGCACCCACAGCTCTCTGATTTCATCCTACAGTGAAAGAGACATTTCCAGCCCTTGGTGCACCTGGAAGAGCACTTCAGAAGGCACAGAACCAGCCAAGCCGCAGGGGTACCCAGTGGGGTGCAAGGAGAGCAGCGGTGAAAAACGGGAAAGCTCTGAACGGGCTTTGGAAAAACCAAGGCACTCAACCAAGAAGGAAGTTGAGGGGGAAATTCAGGCACAGATTTTAAAAAAGGGCATACTTCCGTCTCACACCGGCACTGATCCAAGAATACATTTTGGGGTAGAAGTTGTATCCATCCATTTACTTGAAAACAAAAGTAAACTTAGTTCTCTCAGGTTATCTGGTCCCGATTTTCTTTGCTGTTTTCTCTTGCTTCCGTCTCTCTCTGGTTTTAAGCAGAATGCTTTTGATGAGAACAGTGAGCATCCAGAGGAACCCGCGCGACTGCTACCCTGGGAGCAAGCGCAGCTGCCGGCGAGGATGGGCCAGAGAATACGCTGCACCCGACGTGCAAAAGAGCTGGAGACAGAATTAGGAAGATTAACAGATGCCGTCCTCTCCATCACTGCGTAAGGAATGTTCTGGACATGCGTGAATGCTCTGAGCAGACAGGGGAAGAAAGGGCTGAGCTACAGAAAGAGGAGGACTGACGCAGGCAGAGCGGGGCGTGTCCGCGGGACCACGCTTAACTGCCTGCTGCCCAGGAAGCTGCACCCACGGCCGCCGCTAGTCCTCAGGGGGGATTCACTCAACCACCTGCATCCTCCACCAGGGGGATTCACTGTGGTGCCAAGGGTCCTTAAGATGAGTCTCCTGGTAAGACCCGTCAAGAGACAAAAAAAGATCAACCCTTCAACCCAGTGATTTCAGTTCTGACAGTAACGCCCAAGGGAACGGTTTACAAAGGGGGAGGGAAGGTACTTGGATAAAGACAGTTAAACCCAACAGAACGATGCTTGTAGCCACTTCACTCCTGCTAGTGAAATAACACAGCCAGCCACCAACTGAGGGTGTTTAACAACGACGTAGATTAACTTGACGAACTATTAGGCAGCAAAAAATAAACTGAGCTCAGTCTTAGAAAAGATGTTAAACTGAGAAAGGAAACCACAAGTGGGTAGATCTACACTGATTACAGGTCCCATAAACACTGATGCAGATCACAACTGGAAGCAGAGATACAAAGCCTTTCCTTTTTAAGGTAAAGATAATATTTCCAGAAAGAAGACAATAAACATGGGCCCCCTGCAAAGACAGCAGCATGTCCTCAGACAGGCTTGTGACCGGGGGCCTGGGCGGCAAGCAGGGTCCCTTCTTGTTTCCTACTTTTCATGAACTTCCCTGAAGCACCGGGACTGTCCACGCAGAGAGGAGCGGGGTGGGAGTGAGGGGTCCAGAGCTCCACCCCCTGTTCAAGAGCAGGGACACTTACTTGCTGTTAATGGCCAAGCAGAAACAGGACACAGTGTACCCCCGAGAAAGGGCTTGCAACCAGGCGAAACTGCCAGCGAGCAGGCGAGCTTACAGCTGGTGAGAACCTGGCCGTCAGAAGGGCAGTGTGGGGAAAGACGCTGTACAAACGGAGGGTGGAAGAGTAGTACTTTATGCTGGACAGACAGACGTCTACCAGGCCTGCATACAAACGGCCGAGGATTTACTGAGAAACCCGGCAGCAGATCACATGAAGCCTGGGCGGCAGGTCGTCACTGAAACACCCTGCTTCACCTGCCTTTTCTGATTAACCCGTTCTCCCAGACAATCGTCTACACCACCCCACCGTTCTCCCAACTCCGCCCCCACGCGGACTTCGAATGTTAAGCGGACGCCCATGGCCCACACCAGCAGAGGCCTCACCACCAACCTGCCGCACACGCAGGAGCGAGGACCAGGGGAGTTTCACTTTCTCTCACGGTTTTCCGCAGGCCAACACACTCTTCTCAATCATCACCATCCTACCTTAGCCATGTAGTTTCTTGCAGGAACTGCTTGACATACAACTGACTTAGTTCAATTCACTGGCTGAAAAGAAATGAAGCACATATGGCGTGGCTGTGCTGCGCTGCACTAACTGTAAAGACCAGTACCCACCTCCATTCCAAGTTCTAAATTCTACTGCCTCACCTGTGTGTCACAACAAGCTTAGCCGAGAGCCATCCTGCACGCTGCACTACGGCTTTAAGAGGAAATAAATTATCCCTCAAGTTTTTGGCAAATGCACAGCTAAACATAGCAGGAATCTCATGTATATGGATTTAAAGTTTCTCCTTTGGGAATTCTGCAAGCAAACAAAATGATTTATTTAGCCAATTCAAGCGAACTGTATCAAAACACACTCAGGCCCCAAGAAAAGATTACAATGAAAACAAATAATTCAAAGCAATTTCTGATCCAAAACACTTTGCTTAGCTCCACACAGCCTGAATGAGCTGTGGTCATGCTTTCTGACAGGAGATTTCAGCACTGCCGGCTCCCAAGTTCAACACAGCCACAGGAGTATTGTAACTGCTTCATGCAGCCTGGAAGAGGTCTTTTTGCCAATCCTTCAGTTACTAATGGGAGAGTTGTGTACAGACCACAAAGCGTGTAAAAACAGGTCATTTACAATTGTGCTGTGCACTCAGTACCACTAGACGTGTGTCTTTCGAGCATCTGAAATGCGGTTAATATAAGGAACTACACTTTAATTTGACTACATTTAAAACTTGATAATCAATCCAGTAAACTTTTCAACATGTTTTAAGTATGTCTGGAACAACATAGGTATGTGAATCTACTTTTTCAAATGTATTATTTCATGAACTCTAAACACAGATCATGCATTCCTCGTGAAAATCTGGCATCTGAATTAAGACGCACCGTAAGTGAGCACACAGTGGATTTTGAAGACTTGATGTGAACAGAAATGTAAAACACCCCATCAGCACCTTCTGTTCATGGATTAAGTGTTGAAATACTTCAGATGCACCGGACTGACGCACAGCCGACCCTCGAACAGGGTCTAAACCGCGTGGGTCCGCCTTCAGGCGGACTTCTTCAACAGGACCACAGCAGCCACGGCGGGCCGAGCGGTGGCCGTGGACCTGCAGACACAGTGGCTGAGTGTGGGACGGGAACGTCCACCGATTCCGGTGCCCACAGCAGGCTGTGGAACCAACCCCCACAGACACCAAGGGGTGCCCGCACAGCACAAAATTCACTTCATTCTTTAAGTGTGGATCCCAGACTCTGAAAACGACACACAAGGCTTATACCCCATCTCTACCAGGCAGGGCTGTTCTACAGCGCTGGTCCGCAGCCTAAGGACTCCAGCGCCCTCTGCTGGACACACTCATACAAAACGGCCCCGTGAGAAAAGAACCGCACTTAACACCTGAACTCTGGGTCAGAAATGGAAGAGGTAACTGGTTCGCAAAACACTCAACTAAACGCAAGCTGTTAAAGGGGGATTAGACGTACACTGATATGGTCTTTGAAATCCTAGACAATCTGACTTAGTTCTATCAGTCAACAGTGACCACGAGCCCACATGCACTGACTGCTCTTCTATTTACCGTGGGTGCCCTGGGCAAGGACAAAGGTTACTGGGTGGCCTTTCTGTGACTGCTGGCTCCCGTACTCATGGGCTTATTGCTGCCTGCAGTCTCCCTGTCTTTTCTCCACAATCCGCCTCTCATGTCCTGCTCTACCTTATAAATACACCCTTTCCCATATTTGTCTACTGTTTTCCTTTTTCTCTATTTTTCCTTGTGATTCTAGGATATCTAGTAATTCTACGTTTTCCTTTTAGTGCAAGTTTTCTTTTCGTCTCCTCCCCTTTTGTCCCACAAGCTGTTTCAACTGGTTTTAGTTTTACGTTTAGGTCTCTGCTCCATTTTGAGGTGGCCCTGCATGTGTCAGGTACGCATTCAAGTCCACCCTTCCGTGTGCAGTCAGCTGTCCCAGAGCCACCTGCCGAAGACTGCTCTTCCCCCACTGGATGCTCCCGGCCTGACTGTCAGAAGTGAACTGACCACAGAGGTAAGGGTTTATCTCTGGACCCTCAACTGTTTCACTGATTTGTCTTCCCTTATACCACAGTTTTGATTCCTGTCGCTTTGCATTAAGTCTTCAAATCAGGAAGTGTGAGTTCTCCAACTGCTGTTTTTTTAACTTTGCTTTGGATACTCTGAGTCCCCTGCAGTTCTGTATGCGCTTTAGGGCCATCCTGTCAATTTCTGCAAAAAGGGCAGGTGGGTCAGTTGTGTTTTCACATACCCTTGTTACAGGAGGTATGTGCCTCACGAGGCTGACAGAACGATCATTGGTAAGTCTGGCAACTTTGCCCATGATCTGGATTTTAGAGGTTAAGTTTGCAAAAATTTGGGATTTTTGCCTCATCTAAGACTGCTTGACATTAGAATAAAAGGCAGAGCGGAGGGTGCTGGAGAAAGCACAAGCCCGCAGCAAACAAACACCTCAGAGGCTGCGTGTGGGGCCTGACGCGCCACTGAGACCCCGCGAGGCCAGCCACCGCGCCTCCCTGCACTCCAGCTTGTAGTCCGTAATGAGAACGGGGCTCCCGTCAACCCCGCGTGCCGTGGGCTCCTGCGGACACAGGGAGGGCTCACTGCCCAGGGAGGTGGCCGCAGAAGCCCCGCGGGCCTGGCCGCCAACTCCTACTGCTTGTCTGCCGCTGTGAAGAGGACTCGGAGGTGCGACGGGTCGAGGACGGGCGTGGGATCCAGGCACAGGAAGTTCTTCTGGAGCCCTGCTCACCTACTTGTTGCTAGTAAAGACAAAGGGGCCCAGCTGCCCCTCACTCCAGCCCAAGTCCACCCCAACCAGGCTTGTGAGGTGACTCAGCTCCCAGGAGAGACGACAGCCTAGACTGGGAATGGAGCTAAGAAACCAACCCTGACAGCTAAGGAGCACCTGGCTCCCTGCCCAGGCCCGGGAGCCTCCACGTGTGCCCTGGTCACTCAGTCTGCACTGACGGAGCGCCCACTGTGCGCGGTGTGACAATCACCACTCAGGAAGGGGTGGCAATAAAAGCAATGGCTTCAGTGTCTTCCTTCTGGATTATGAAGTTCTCCTCCCTGGTCGTCCTCATCATTTCAAATGTTACTGCTTCATACTCCACAGCTCAGGGTGCTCCCGGAGACCGGATCACTCTGCCTCCCACACAAGTGTCCCCCCACGTGCCAGGCAAAATTCCTCCTGCAGATGCTCCATCAAGTGAGCTGCAAGCTAGCAGCGGCAAGAGGGAAGGAGGGGGGCCCTTAACTCTGGGTAAGTCGTGGGAGGGGGATGAAGCAAGAGTACCTAACAGCAGAGTGATTCTACTCCATCCCAGCGCACACGGCAACTCCAGATGATCAGGGCTCCATGCCATTTAGAAAGAAATCAACAGCCAGGTGGCCACAGAATTCTCACAGCACTATTCACTTTCCTCCTTGCTGACAAATCCAAGCAAAAGTCTGGGTCTTCAGGGAAAGGACAAGAAAGGAAATTACAATTCAGGTCCTAAAGTTATTCTCTGAGCTGTGGGAGGAGGAGTCACCATCAACAGTACAAACCCAAGACACAATGTTCTTCAGTTCATGTCACTTGTTTATAATATGATATCATATCATCCAGAGTTTCAAAAGTGACGGTCGGGGCTGCTGGTGGGCTGCCGGGGGCAGGAGCCGACGGTAGATGGGAAGAGCCAGGGTCATGGCTCTGGCTGGAGGGCTGCCCGGGGCCACTCTGTGCAGGTGCGGGTCTGCTCCACGTCTGGCTACTCGAAGAACCAGTTCTCTTTTGACCCACAAAGTAATCCGATGGCGGGGCAAACTCAGGGTCTCTCTCAGCCCGGAGATCTGACTGTCTCTTCGACCAGTACCCAAAGGAAAATTCTAGTAAAAATAAGAGAGCATTATTAGAACTGATTATTGAATCACGTGAATGTTTACCGTCATGACTTCTCAATTACTGCATATATTTCTTGAAAGCCACCTTCAGTTCTCTGGAGAACGAGGACGGCAATCACAAAACTGTAACACGAGGCATCAGCAACGAGGCATCCTTACAAAAGTGTAAGGAACCAGGCTAAGGAAAAGGAGCGAGTGCTTCCAGACGAGGACCGGTCCGAGGAAGGCTCCATGGAGAAAGAGGGCTGGGCGCCCCGGAGACACTGCCAAGAAAGCACTAACATCACATCTGAGACAGAAATACTAAAAAGTCAAGCACTCTCATCACTTGCCTGGCATGATGCTGTAAGCCCTTCACAGCAAAACACACGTTTTACCCTTGACGGCATTTTAGAAGCCACAAAAGGCACCTGTCCAAATGTGTTTCGGGCTTCCCCTCTGTCCCCTGCAGTGGCCCCAACCACAGGCACCCACCCGCCTGCACATCCTCTACTCAGCTGTGGTCTCAAGGGTACGAGCTACTGCACCACTGAAATCATCCTTCTCAGAGAGGCACAAACCACACTTCTCCCAAAGACAGGCTGCTCGAGGCACGACGCTGTATTTGCAGAAAACATTTACAGGAAACTGCGTAACCAAATGGGACCACACGTGAATGCAGGTTAATACACCGGAACGCAGGCTGTTTTCAACTGATCGTAAAAGAGACTGCTGAAAACACAGAACACACTAAATACCAAGCCTTCGAAGAGTTTAAAAAGCAGTCCCTGAGAAACAGCACCCTAAAGCTGTAAACCACACGGGGGCAGCCTGAACTTCAGAAACCTTCCCCCAGGTGCCTCTTAAAAAGACATCCTTCAGAGGTGATCTGGTCGTTTTTAATCACCTTTCTAGTGCCCCTGTTTACAAACAGCCAGTGCCTGGGCATCGAGAAGAAACAAGTTCAAGGATCTGGAGAATTCCTTACACTTCAAAGGACCGGTAAGACTCGCCAGAATCACACTCTCATCAGGAGAACCGTCGCCCTTACCTTTCCCTCTGTCCCACTCCCGGACGTGCGGCACCCCAGGCCTGGTGTCCCTCCTCTCCTGAACGATGACTTCCACTTTGCTACTCGAGGCAGCTGGACGAGGAGCTGGCAGGACCTCTGGTACTGGTGGCAAAGGTCCAATAACATCTCCATCTATTTTTGGTAAGGGAATAAGACTTTATTGTAATAAAACTTTAAACTACTTTAAAAATGAAATATAATATGCTAATCCTGAGAGTAAAAGTAATAACGTATTTACTGAGCACTGATCACGTCCCAGGCAGTGGGCTAAGTACTTTGTATACAATAGCTCATTTTAACTCTAACAACCCTAATAAACGCAGGACTGGTATTCCCATTTTAAGGATGAGGAAAATCAAGCTCAGAAATGCCACATAGGTGGAGGTGACAAGAGCCAGGACTTAAACCCAGGCTGGATGGATTTCAAAGTCTCTGCGTTTCCCACTACACCCCACTGCTCCCCCTGAGCAACAACTGAAGGACCAGAAATCCCCCAATCACTCAACTCAAGTTAAGAGTCTCGGATAACGCAAGGGGGCTTAGGGTGATGAAGAGCTGGAGCCTGGCGACCGGCTGCAGGCTACTCAACTTCGGCCATGTTTTAAAAGAAAAGGGATTTTTAAAAACGCTGTGGTGGCACCTCCCATCTGTAGAAACGACAGATGTTCAGGAACAAAGCGAAAACAGAGGAACAACACGCAGGGTTTAATCTGTCACAGCACGCGCAAAGCTGAATGGACGATGTTGACTCCTAAGTGCTTCTGATCTCCTTTTAAAGCTGAAGCGTGTTCAGAATTGGAAAGCGGCGCACGGCTTAGCACAGGCTTCCGTGAGAGTCGGCGGGGCCCCCGTATGGCCCTGTCACCCACACTCCCTGCCTCCTCCCGGGCTGGAGTGCCCCCCACTTCAGCTGGACATGTGGCACCTTGCTAGAGAGGCCACTTCCCAGCCTGCCCTGCGGCTGGGGGTGGCCCGTGGACTGCTTTCTGGCCACTGGGGTGTAAACACGTAGGTTGAGTGTGACTTCCGACTCACACTCCTGTAAAGGAAGCTGGCTCCCCCAGCGCCCTCTCTTCCCCGGGGCTGGACCATGAACACGTGCTGGGGAGCAAGTGACTGCACGTGAGAGCAGCCCTCCCGGGACCGGCAGCAGCAGTAAGACAGGAGGGAGCCGGGAAGCAGGTGGCCGTCTGCGGCAGAGCTGCTACGTGCCCTGGAAACCCACCTCCTCTCAAGTGTTAAGCTAGGGAAGCAGACGCCCATCTTGTTTGAGCCAGTCTATGCATTCTCTCTGTCCAGGCCACTTAGCCCAGACTAGCATCACTCACACAGTGAGCGAGTCCGAGCACAGCACTTAACAGTGTTCCCAAGTGTTTTAACAGTCCTCTGGTAAGCTGTCTGCATCCATCTTTGTAAATTCTTTATTTTATCGTCTGACTTTGTGATGCATTTCTTCTTTAAAATAATTCATAATAGCCAACAAAAAACTACAGCCATAGCAAAAGAAGACAGGCCTAAGCCGTGTACATGTGCTATGAAACTTCACCTCACCATACCTTTTAGTATTTTAAGTACTCCACCCCTAAGCAGGCCTCAGTTACTGAGCCGTGCTGCTCGCGGAGGGACACGCTGTACTGTTAACACCCTCGTCTACAGCCTGAAACAGCCTCTGGAGTGTTTCCACACCACTTTGGTTAAAGAAACTGCTCCCGGCAGTATCTCCAAGACGCACTGTTTGCTAAGAGGATGGGACGGCTGACTTCCACAGCCCGTCCTATTACCGAGAAACCAGTGCAACGAAAATGTTTCCCTTTGAGGTTCTGAAACATGAGCCACGATATACCTCTGTTTTCTTCCTCTGCTCCGTCTTCTTTTGATTTTTTCATCTTTTTTTGTCGGAGTTTGGCAAGTCTTGCTTCTAACATGGCCTTTCTCTTTTCCTTTATGTTTTCTCGTTTTGTTCTCTGATCTGTTGTCTGAACAGAACAAAAAATTAGCAAACTATTTGCTCGAAGCCCTATTCACAATATTTCTGTTTAACAGGATGAAATAATTTTATTCTAAAAATAGACTAATGGATTTTCAAGCCACTTCTAAGAAGCCATCTCTGAGACGCATGAAGCCCACGCACACGAGCCCCGCGATGATTTGTGAAGTGCAGTAGGAGCGCACAGAGTGTCCTGGAAGGCTTAACATTCAAGGAAACCAACCAACACCTCAATCCACTTCATCATGTTCTATTTTGTTACCCAGGCCACTCCAAAAGTGAGGTATCTGAAGCCAAATTTAAAACATCAAAGTTACACAGGTTACTTCTAAACAACTATACAGTCCAAAACACCAAAATAATATAGCAGTTACCTTTAAGGAACCTGTAATCACATTCTGAATAGCAATGCAAATGTCGAACTTCCCGACCAGACTTTCCTGCAGTATGGTCCAACGAGAGCCCAACTGCTCAAACCTTAACGTCAACCCCGAGTTTCATTTGTACCTGTTCACGCAGCATTTCTAAAGTTTTCATTTGCTTGTTTCTCAACTCTTTATCTTGGGCGAAGGCAAAATATCCAACACCGAGTTGCCGGGCCTCTGCAACAAGTCAAAATTATCCAGAAGATCAGATTTTCCTGATTAGTGAATTAGACCTGGGCTAAACCCCACCAAAGCAAAAACGAACACAATGATATCTGGCATCTGGCACAACTTGTTTTCAGTGTAGCTTAAAAAAGAAGTTAAGACATTTTCCATCCTGTTTGCCAAGGGATAAATGTAAATATTCATCCACTTCTCGGTCATGGGCTGTCCCCACTTCTCTTAGGGAGCAAACATTTGAGTCAACAGACAAACATACTGGAAGCTACTCCCAGTATGAGTATTTTTCAGGCTACAGAGTGGACAAAGGGGATACTTTCAGTCCTAAAAGTAGAATCTTTTTCTTCTCCGTAAGAGCTGCTGCTTTATGAATACTTCCCTTAATGCTCGCCATTTGTTCAAGATTTTTAAAATGATTTAAAAAGCTGCTGGAAGACTACCATTTTCGCGAACGTCTTCGTAGTGTACGGGCCCCACAGGCCTCCTCAGGGCCTCCCTCTCTTCTTCCTCCCATTGCTGGCGCTGCAGTTCTTTTCTCATATCTTCAGACAGTAAGGTTTTTTCATTGGCAGGGCTAACAAAACTAGGAAAATAGAGCAAAAAACATCTTAGGTAAGAGCTGGGATAAGCAACACTTCAGTTCAGGCAGCAGGATCGTGGATGAGTGAGTGACTCCAGTGATGAAGACAACAGTTCCTCATGCAAGCTTCTGCCCACGATGCTGCAGGGACATGGCAACACTGTGCCCACCTTCTTCATCAGGCAGCTGACTTGCTGCATTAGCACAATGGAACCTCACCTCAGCCCTCAGACGAATCACTCTCCTTGCCACCCCACTCCCGGGCTGATGGAGGGAGGCAGCCCAGGCAGGGAGGAGGAACTCTGGGCCCCCTCTGGATGGTCCCCCGTGCAGTGCGGAGGAAGCTGCGTGACGCTGTGGCCCGGGCAGTGCCTCGTGTCCTGCTGGATGGCTCAGGGCCTCTGCACGACCGTCCCTGTGCCCAGCCCAGGCCTACCTGAACCTCGAGGGTCCAGACAAGGTGGACCTTCCCCCGACACTCTCCACACAAGAGCTGCCCTAGGTGAGAACTTTATTCCCTGGGATGTTTTAGCAAGTTACCTCTTAGGCGTGACTTAGATCCCACAGAGAAAACTCCAGCTGCAAGCCCTTACTTCAAAATGCAAAGCCGTGTAAGAGAAGTTCATAAGCTAGCCACTCCCCGCCCCAACTCACTGTGGGCTAACCCAGGGCAAGCCCTTAAACACTGTCCTCCCAGTGGTCTGGCTGCTGGTTTGGTCTGGGCTCTCTGCTACACTGCAGGCAGAACCCCTCCGAGTAAGCAGACACGGCTCTCGCTCACCCTCCTAGGAGCTGCACAAGTCTGCACGGTCGAGCGCTTGGGCTGCTGCCTGCGTGCGGACTGCGTGCGTCTTGTATGCTAACCATGAAAAAGTGCCCCCAGAAGTGTTCTTGTACAAAGATCTCCTTACCAAAGACAATAAACTAAAAACAGTCTTGCCCACAAAACAATCCCCATGTCTGCAATCAGACCTGGGCAAAGCTTTGCACATGACATACTTACAGCCTCCCCTGAAGATTTTTATCCATCTCCAGCAGGTCTGGCAAATCCTTTCTCATACAGCGCCGGGATCGCCCTAAAGAATCCACATAATCCACCCTGAAATAAAAGCGGAGAGGTGTGAAGAAGGCCTTGAACGTGACACCGGTTCCCTGAGCGGGGCAGCGGGTGCTCAGTGACGAAATCAACGTTAGGTCTCACAACCAAGGAAACCCTCAACCTGAGAGACCACCACCGAGAAAGGCTGACACACAACAAGCTCCGCGCGCCCTTTATTAAACCTTAGCTTTAGGAACTGTGGGACGTGATCAATCATATGCACCTCTGATTTCAGAGATAAATGCCCCACCCAGACCACAGACCCTCACTGCAGCACCTCAGGGCTTACTCTAGCCTGGTTTAAACAATTCCACACATTCCATCAGCATCACAGCAAGTCTGTACCAGATTCTCAGGCTGCTCATTTCCTCAGTCTTCCTAAATGACTTTTTATTCTTTCCTTTATTTCCTCTAATTGGTACAATTCTTCCCAATGAATTAAACATTTCTTAATGTAAGTACTTGGGGGATTCTTTATAGGAGGAAGCCAAGCAACCCACGCTCTGTGCCACAAGGGCAGCTCACCAGCGGGCCGGGCTGCTACCTGCCACCCTTAGCTCTTCCCCTCATCTTTGCCCAAAGGAGGCAGCAGACGGGGAGGCCACGCAGCCAGGAAGGCCGATGAAATACTCTGACTCCCACAACAGGAAGTAAGGGCAGGTCTTCGTGGAAAGCATTTCACGTGCATTTTGATACAGCAGAGTTTTACGGTTTTTAATTACAGGCAGGGACTCTCCCATAGCCTTTAGCGGGGGGCTGAAAGCTCAGAAGGGCCAGCACTGCTGCTGCACCAGCTCAAGGCCGGAGTCCCAGGCACGTGGCTATGCTTTCGTTAGTCTGTCCCCTCCTCTCACACATACCGACTCCCACGTCGGCCCATGATTTAAAAACTAAACGTTTGGGAATCCGTAACTACAGTCCTAAAGCTGATTACCACAAGAAACACAGCCTCCAACTGTAGAGAGCAACTTCTTTCTACCTCTTCCTTTTTTAAAAAAATCTTTCAATGAATGGAGAACAAAAACCAACTAGCCAGATGGTGTGAGCAATTATTTACAGTATTTTTTTGTGGAAAGCGTTCCCACCACCTGGAACTTAACTACCAAAAGGATTTTACAAGCAGTTAGAATTCTGGGACTTAATTTAAACACACACACAAAGAAGTGCCAGAGCTGCTTGCAGTGTGTCTTCCTTCACCTTACGGTGGCATGTGACACCTTCAACTGCCCTCCAAACCCTTCCAGTCACTAACAAATTGGTTGTAATCATACAGGCATTAATAAGAGAGGGAAAAAGACATTAAGCCTTTCACAGGAGATGAGATTTCTAATCTGAAAAGCAGTCACAGGCTATTCTGTTTCGGGAGAAGGCCCCCAAAACGTAGGGGTCCCATCAAAAGAGGAGGGCAGCACGGGAGCCCCACCCGCTGCGAGCACCCAGCAACCGCCGGGCAAGGCTCCGGGAGACAACTGCTCGGTACGAGGCCCACTCGGGGGCTCAGTCACGCCCTCTTCCCAAGTCAAGGCTCCCCAACAACAGCAGGCAGGAAACGACATGCCGAAAACTTGCCTCAATCTTTTTCTGGTAGTGAGGCCGATTTTGTGTCAACAACAGATAAAAGTTCAGACCCAGAGGAGCAGGACATACGTTTATGTGCCACCAGAGTCCAGTTGAGGAGAAACCACTGAGACAGAGCAACGAAGAGAAAGCAGATGGAAGGGGCCAGGGCACACGTGTCCCCTGCTGGTTGCTGCTCAAGCACCAGCCCGTCGCCCACCCCGACGGCAGGTGCTTCAGGAGGGGTGAGAAACCCCCGGCAGCATGAGATGGCCAGTGCGCTCAGCAGGGGACCCCTCTCTTCACTCACCAGTGACTCCTGCCCGCAGGGCCAATGCTGATAAAGTCCGGAGCATCCCTGACACACCCCACCACGGGCACACCTCAGCCCGAGTCCTGAGCATCCCTGACACACTCCCCGCCACGGGCGCACCTCAGCCCGAGTCCTGAGCATCCCTGACACACTCCCCGCCACGGGCACACCTCAGCCCGAGTCCTGAGCATCCCTGACACACTCCCCGCCACGGGCGCACCTCAGCCCGAGTCCTGAGCATTCCTGACACGCTCCCCGCCACGGGCACACCTCAGCCTTGAGGGAGGTGGGGGCTAGGCACTGGCAGGAGGGGGAAGGTGGGGATGCCCAGGACACCACCTGAGTGGCTCCAGGTAATTTCAAGCCCTTCTTAACAAGTTTCTAAACAACGTCTTAGGTGGAGAAAGTCATAATAGAATTTTCATTCTGGTCTCTGCGTACGGAAAAGACTAGTTTAGTTTTCCCGTGGTTCACCTACATGTGGGCAAAATTCAGGATAAATTCAATAATAAAAGTTTACAAAGTGTCTGCTTACATGCCACAGACAGCAATTTCCTGGGGAGCTCAGGACACTCTTACTTTCTGAAGGGCGTTTCAGACAAACATACTGGGAAGCAGGCCTTGCCAGCCCCGTTTCACAGGTGAGGAAACTGAGCCTTAGAGACGCTAGGAGCTCGAAGGCGACTCCACCACCAGTGAGAGGTGGAGCCAGCACTGTGCAATCGGGGGCCAGGGTGCCCAGCCCGCACTGCCAGAGCACATCACAGCCAGAGCAGGGCTCAGTGGGCCGGCTCTGCCGGCCTCTTTTCGCTGGAAACAGAGCTCACGCTCCTGCTCGATGACTCTCCACGAGGCCAGAGTAAGGGCCTGGGGAAAGCAGCGGCTCGGGGAACAGAGGAGCAGTCTCCACCCGAACAGCCCCCGCACATCAACGAGACAGAAGTGTCGGCGCCTCCGTGCCCGGCATGCTACCTGGGACACAGCAGGAGGAGGCGGGCCTTAATCTGTAATTACTTTTTCACTGGAGCTACTGCTTCTACTATCAACCCGACTTAAAGTGGTGTGTCAAAGGATAGAAAACTGAGGAGGAATAAAGAGACATGGCTTGATAACAACGGAACAACATCACTCCAAGAAGTAAACCCAAGTCTGATGATGTTAACATGACCAAATGGCAGAAGATCACCAACCATTCCTCACTGGGGTCCTGGGGAGGAGGGATATCCTTTTCAGAAAGGATTTCTTCATCATCGTCTCTTTCTCCTGTCTTTCTAGAATCTCTACTGGCACCAATCGCTTCCATTTCTTTGTGTTTGTCTATGATCTTCTGTGTGAAATCCACAAGGTACATATCCTCCACTTCTTCATCTAGGACATAAAAATCAATTTTCAGACTCTTGACATCAAAGAAGAAGCTACACATGGAAGTGATATGACGCCACATCCATCACCGGGCGGCTCCGGCACCCTGGACAGTTCAGTAGCTGATGCACCCACCTGCCCGTCGGCTTACACAGACCAAGAGCCACCTCGGGACGGCAGGGGGGCTGCAGAAAGGCCGCTGGCCACATATGCCATATAAAAATCTTTATGAAGCCTCAAGTTTTCTGCTGCCTCGTCAGCACACTATCTGAGTGAGCAGTACTGTCTTAGGTCATGACTCTGAGATGACAAGACCATCTGATTCAAGAGACCCATTCGGGCAGTCACGTAACATAGACACAGAGCCGGCGTCTCACGTCCTCAGACCCAGGCAACAAACCTTTGTGGCATGAGCAATCCACCACCCTCATCATGTGAGCAGTGCCCCAGAGCCCCCATAACACTGCTGCAGGACAGCAGGTGTTTAAGGGTCATAACAGAGGCAAAGCGGGCATCTGAGTTCTTTTCAAGTCATGGACACCACTTCCAAGCAGGGCACGGCGCCCCATCTGCAGGGCACACAGAGACGTGTAAAACGCTGCCTGCCCTGGGGGCTTATGATCTACTTGAACTAAGAGACATGGTTGAAGTTAAGTAACAATCCATGACTTTAATTTAACCCAGGCCAGCAGATGTACACTAGGTTTCACTACGCTGGTTTTCAGCTCAAAGGAGCAGGAACCAGGTTCCCGACACTGGGGGCAGGTGCTACCCTACTGTCCGGTGGAGAGGAATGGAAGCTCCAGAACGTAATCTGCCCCAGCAACTGGTCACACACACGTGCTAGGAGGTAGACCTGCTGGTGTGGACAGCTGTTTGTAACCACGGTCTATTTAGACCTTGTTCCCTAACCCTGTTCTGCTCTGTGACATTTTCTCCGGGGTGCGGACGCCCACCCCGGAGCCCCGCTGACAGCAGAGGCAGGAAATCCCGCCTATAGCGCACCGGCTCATCCCTTCTCACACCTAACACGGGGCTCAGCTCCCACGGGGCAATCGAAAAGTTACTGCTGACTTTCATGTCTCAGCGCGGGAACGGAAAGTAATCGATATTATTTGTTTAATTTCTCGCTATTCTTACAATCATTCTGACAAGCGATTAGATATCACAGAGCTGTACAAGTAACAGAAAATAAAGACATATAAATAAACAATGGTATTTACCGATAAAGTCTCCTTCAGTCATTTTTTCGTATAATTTGGCTTTTTCTTCCAATTTCTCCCTAGGAGAGAAAAAAGACAACTATTAGAGGCGATCTTAGCACCGCCACGCCTGCTCCCTGCTGCGGCCGGCCTGGGGCAGCCACGGAGGCATCCCTGGAGCGGCCCACCCCGCCCTGAGGGCCAACCACATGCACGCGCCGGCACAGCAGGGCCCTCATTTCTCTGGCTCCGACTGTACCCAGGGCCTAAAACAGCACCCGGTGCACCAGTGCCCCATCAGTATCTGATGAATGAATAAATGAACGAAGAAAGAGTCCAGCTTAATTCAAGTGCCAAACGCAACTGAAATTAAATGCCAAAAACAAGAGACAGAGATGCCTCAACAAGAACATTTTCTATTTGCAACCTTCCAGACGAATCGCCAAATTCCGCGCAAACTCTCCATGGTGCTGTTTTTAGACGAGGGCCCCTGGTCTCCTACGGCTTATTAGGCTTCACCAAAGGAGCTACAGACCACCTTCTGAGATGTCTGGTAAAAAATACGACGTCTGTTTTATACAGAGCATAAATAATTTATTCATGGCAAACAGCTAATATAAAACAAACCTCAACTCTGGTATTTCAACACAGCAGCCTCCCTGCTTGTGTTAATTCTGCTGACACTCATTGTTTAGTGGGTAAGACAGCTGACAATCCTTTTATTGCAGAAATACTGAATGACAATAAAGAGCCCCAAAGAGGACATCCGAGCTTTGCTTGTGAAGGATCACAAGTGATCATAATGGAAAATTTCATTTCTAATGGTGTCCCGAGGTGATAAAGCCCCTCGGTCACCCAGCTGCGTACGCTGGAACAAGTCGCTTAGCCTCTCTTACACCTCAACGCCCACATCACCGAAGAGGAGAAAGACAGCGCTGCCTCTCAGGGCTGCAGTGAGGACACACGTCAGGCAAGCCATCGGTTACGTCCTCTCTGCCTCGTCAGAAAGGCTCTCCTTCATTTCCCACGTTCATTCACAAGTACGGGCTGCATGCCTCCGCTGGCCCAGGCGCACAGGACACAGTCCCAGCTCTCACGGGGCTGACGTGCTTGAGGGGGAGAAAGATGACATGTGAAGCAGTAAGATTCCACACGGTGAGAAGAGCTGTGATGGAAGGAAACAAAAGCGAGGGCCTTCACCCTCACAGGGTGGAGGCCCTGTGTCCAGCAGACGGAGGGCCCCGTGGACCAGCTCAGTCACATCCACTTCTAGGACGTCAAGCTGCTCTGTTCCTGAGGGGCCTAAATGTAACAAGCGGTCTCATCATAGACTCTTACTGTCTTAGTAAAAACAAAACTTCAAAAAGTTAGGAAAATAAAACACAATGTCAGGACAGAGTACGTGGGCAGGTCACTAGACAGGACAGTCAGGGGAAACCTCTGTAAAGGGACATCTGAGCTGAGGCCTGCACAGCCAAAGTCAACCGCGGGAGGACCTGGGGGAGAGAGCCAGCCTGACGGAGGGAAGGGAAAGCGGGAGTGAGCCCCACATCCAAGGAGGGACCAGCACGGGGGGCTGTGAGCAAAGGAGAGCACCGTACAAAACAGACACAGGCAGCAACGAGGGTGCAAGAGAGAGGGGGAGAAGCCCGGGTGCAGCAGAACATGAGCACCTGGCAGGAAGAGCCTTCAGATGAGCAATGGAGATCAAGGAAGATGTCAGAGAAACAGCCACCGGATTTAATAGACGAGGAAGTCACGGGTGACTGTGGAGCACGATTTCTTCTGTTAGAACTGAAGGTGGAACTCAGAGGGCGAGATTGTGGGACATTTATATGGAATCAAACACGTGCCAGACACTAAGTATCTCCTTTAATCCCAACGGGCTGCAGGAGTTAATCATTAACCACCTCACTTCACAGAGAAGGAAAGAGTCTCCGTGGATAAGTAACTTGCCTAAGGCCTCACCTCCTCACGGAGCTGCCTCTGCCTGTTCTTAGCTCGGGCCAGAAGCAGAAGTCCTGCACATCGTGGACAGACTTGACTCCCCACGGGAACAGGATGACGTAGAAAGATACCGAATGGAAAAATCCCAGCAAGTGCCAAGGAAAAGTCTGTCACACAGAGGAAATAAAAAGAGCTTACGCCCAAGGCGAATGTCACACTCAATGGTAACAAGCTGACCGCTTTCCCTCTAAGACCAGGAGCAAGGCAAGGGCGCCTCACTCTTGTCACTCTTATCCAACACAGTGCTGGAAGTCTCAGTCAGAACAATTAGGCAAGAAAAAGAAAGAAAAGGCATCCAAATCCAAAAGGAAGAAACAAAACTGTCACTATTTGCAGATGACATAATACTACATACAGAAACTCCCAGACTCCACAAAAAAACTGTCGGAACTAATAAATGAACTCAGTAAAGCTGCAGGATACAAAAATCAATATACAAGGACCTGTTGTGTTTCTATACACTAATAATGAACTTTCAGAAAGGAAAAATAAGAAAACAATCTCAATTTACAATTGCATCAAAATGAATTAAAAAACACTCAGGAATAAATGTAACAAAGAAGGTGAAAGAGCTGTACACTGAAAACTGAAAGGCACCAATGAAAGAAACTGAAGGCAACACAAGTAAGTGGAAACGTATTTATTTTCTGCTCCTGGATTAGAAGGATCAATACTGTTAAAACGTCCACACCACCAAAGCAACCTACAGATTCAATGCAATTTCCAATGGCAATGGAAAAATTCCAACGGCATTTTTCACAGAAACAGAACAAACAATCCTAAAATCTGTGTGGAATCACAAATGATCCCCAGAGAGCCAAAGCAATCTTGGGAAAGAACAAAGCTGAAGGCATCATATGCTCTCATTCCAGACTGTATTACAAAGTCACAGTAATCAAAACAGTATGGTACTGCCATGAAAACAGACAAAAAGATCAACAGAATCAACACTAATGCAAAAAAAAAAATGCACCCTCAGGTTCACTGCAGCATTACAGAATAGAGAGCCTAGAAATAAACACACACATATGGTCTTGGTGCAAAGACAGTCCCTTCAGGAGTGTTGGGAAAATAAACTGGAGGGCCACATGCAAAAGAATGAAACTGGACCACTATCTGACACAGAAACTAACTCAAAATGGATTAATAACTTGAACATAAGATCCAAAACCATAAAACTCCTAGAAGAAAACAGACAATGAGCTCCCTGACGTTGGTTCTGGCAACGTTTTGTTTTGTTTTGTTTTGTTTGGATTTGACACCAAAAGCAAAGCAACAAAAGTCAAAATAAACAAGAGGGACCAATCAAACTAAAAAGCTTCTGCAGAGCAAAGGAAATCATCAACAAAATAAAAAGGCAACCACTGGATGGAAGAAAACATTTGCAAATTATCTGACAAGGGCTTAATATCCAAAATCAATAAAGAACTTTCAACTCAACAGCAAAAACCCCAAACAACTCAATTTAAAAAATGGACCTAAATAGACATTTTTCAAAGACATACAGATGGCCAACTGATATACGGAAAGGTGTTCAACATTACTAAACGCAAGGGAAATGCAAATCAAAATCACAATGAGATATCACCTCACATCTGTTAGAATGGCTACTATCAAAAAGAGAAGAAATAACGGGCGTTGGCCGGTGAGGATGTGGAGAAAAGGGAAGCCCCGTGCACTGCTGGTAGGAATGTAAACTGGAGCAGCCACTATGGAAAAAGAGAATGGAGAATCCTTAAAAAATTTTTTAAAAATGGAACTGCCATATGATCCAGCAATTCTACTTCTGGGTATTTATTCGAAGAAAATGAAAACACTAATTCAAAAAGAAACATGCACCGCCATGTTAACTGCAGCATTATTTACAACAGCCAAGATATGGACACAATCTCGGTGTCCACTGATGGATGAATGAATTAAAAAAAGTGAATATATATACACAACGGAATTCTACTCAGCCATAAAAAAGAAGGAAATCTTGCCATTTGCAACAACGTGGATGGATCTTAACGCTAAGTGAAATAAGCCAGACAGAGAAAGACAAACACCATATGAGCACGGTTATATGTGGAATCTAAAGACAAGTTCACAGCTCCAGAGAACAGAAGGGTGGTTGCCAGAGGCGGGGAGTGTGGGGGTGGGCGACACGGGTGAAGGGGGTAAAAAGGTACAAACTTCCAGTTCTAAAATAAATCAGCCTTGAGGGTGTAACGTACAGCATGGGACTATAGTTAACAATACTGTACCGCACATCTGAAATTTGTTCAGAGAGTAGATCTCTAAAATTCTTGTCACGAGAAAATAATTTGTAACTCTGTGTGGTGATGCAGTTAAGTAGATTTACTGTGATCATTTCACAATATGTACAAATACCGAGTCATGATGTCATGCACCTGGAAAGGATACAGCATTTCAATTATAGCTCAATAAAATATATATATATGAAACGTTAAAGTTATGGCATCTTTCCACAAAACTGTAATTCTGAGATTACTATCCAATGGTGAGAAAGATACCTCAAAAATGAACATACTTTTAAGTAAAGTCTCTTGTCAGAGGTCAAACACTAAGAAAAACAGTCCCCCAAATGAGCCAAATTCTGCCCTTTATTTTCAGACCAGAAGAGCTGAGAAGCCTGCGCACCACTGTTTTCAGCTGCCAAGCTGCTGTTACGCAACGGCTCTAAAAGCCCACGCGGCAGTCACACAGACAGCGAAACTTGGGGTTCTGAGTCAGGGCGACGCTGCAAAGGAGGAGGAGCTCTTCCTTACAGAAGAGTGACAGCTGGTAAACGGAGTGGAAACCAGTAAAGACAGAAGGACAGGAAGCTCACAGCCATGAAACCATCAAGGTGATAACTGAGAAGCAGCAAGACTCATCAGTGGTGACAAAACTGTCGCATGAAAGTATCCTGGCGAAAGCGACACTCACACAGTCGGCTTCCCTCCTTAGATTACAATTCATCACAGCCGAGGGAGAGCAGCTTCACCGCAAAAACCTAGCAGACCTACCTCACCCGGCGGGTCAAACTTAAATCACCACCAGTCACTCAAACTGACATTACGAGCCTCCGACGTGACTCAGTGGGAAGGACACGTCATCGCCTACAAAGTATTCTTACCAAAAACACTTGGGGGGACTCTAATCAGATCTGGGACGCTGCGGAAACAACTGGTGGGGACTCTTCAAAACCGCCACTGGCGTGACAGACAACAAACAGGCAAGGGGGCTGTTCCAGATTTAAGAAGACTAAAGAGACATGACAACTGAACATGACGTGTTATCTTTGAATCTTGGATTTGATGTTTTAAAAAACCGTAAAGGACATAACTGTACTAGGATAACTGGTGAAATCTGAATGTTGGCCACACGCCTGGTCCACCATACGGACCACTACTGCTTCACCAGTATTAACCTCCTTGGGTGTGACAGCAGTAATGTGGTCATGCAGGACCAGGTCCTTGTTCTCAGAAGAGACTTGCTGAAATATTTACAGGTAAAGAGTCATGAGGTTTCACAACGTTTCTCCACACACGGGCGAGCGGGAGGAAGAAAGTAAATTTTGAAAGATGTTAATGGGTGAACTTAGGTGAAGGTAACAGAATATTCACTGTACTCTTCTTTCAAGTATTCTGCCCGTTTGAAGTTTTTCCTATTACAAAGTTAGGGGAAAAATTCAGTTCCTAAGTGCTGATGTCATACCACCATGGGGACACGTTCCCCAGAACAATCCTCATGGGGACACGTCTCAAACGCCTGCTGATAATCTCAGTGCCTCATGGGGGCCCAAAGTGGAAGTGTTCCATCTTTTAAATTGAGGCTATGTCTTATCTTCTTATAAAACTATAAACATATCTGCAAATTGTATTATTTTCTGAGTATATTTTCTATTTAAAGAGTATTTGGCTAGAAGGATGATAAAAATCAAAATTGTAAATCAAAAGGAGTGAACACCGAACCTTCCACTCTGCCTGCGGAGCCTCAATGGCACTGCGCTCGGCAGGGCTGAGCTTTACCTTGCTCTGTCTAACGTCTTCTGTTCCTCAATCTTCTGTTCAGCATCCTTCTCAGCTCGGTTAGAAACTCCTGCATTCTGTTTGCTCCAGATACTTGGTTTCTGGAGAATAATTTGGAAAGACAAAACAGAATCATCAAATGACTGCAAATCTCAACTTGTACATCAGAAGGGAGAAAAAGAGATAATTAGACCTTAAGAATCAATGGAAATAAGTAGACTTCTGACAGCCAGCCTATGTCCTGCAAATAGATGGGACATGGCAAAGCTGGAGCTGGAAAAATGCCCTAAACTACATAAAGAATTTCTTCATATAACTGCAGTTACTTCTCTTTTATCTCTTGAAAGATTACAACCTAACTTAAGACTCTAACGAAAATACATGTATTTTAGAGATTTACTAATACAAGTAACAGACACTGTTACCTGTAAAACTGGGGAAACCTCCACAACTCTTAAAGACCTGGATATTTTCTGCTGTATTTTCTTATCATCTAATTGTTTATCTCTGTTTGGATTTACACCACCTGCATAACCAGATAGTCTTCCACGACAGCGGAAACAACCAGTGGTTAACAGCATGCAGTACTTCAAAAGAAATGCTAAAGAATTAGTGTTACAATGAGCATTTAAATCTTATTTCTATTTTAATATTTAAAACATTTCATGCAGATTTTCAAATACAAGACAGCAATTTATAGGTAGCAGATACCATGGATATTTTCATAAAACCTAAGTACAGTATAATAATGTTTCAGAATCAATGGATAGTTAGATCTTACTTTTACCTTATTAGTTGTTTTTGGTTTCCCCAAAACTCCAGAATCTTTTAGAAGTTTTTCTTGTTTGAATTCTTCTTGTTTTCGGAAGAGTTCAGCCTTAAGGTCTACCAACTAGAATAAAACCAAGAAGCAATCAAAAACATTATATTAACTCTAGTGAGTGACTCGATTTCTAAGTTTTTATAATTCTCAAAGCAAGATTTCAAGTCCCTATAAATGGACAAAAATGTATATAAAATTACATGGTTAAATGTAGAATCCAGTACAAAATAAAACCAAGTCATATCTCATTCCAGCTCTGTTGGAAATGTATTTCTACCTTAACTGTCAACACTCAAAGGCTTTCCTCTTGGCAAGGGGAGAGTGATACAGCAAAGTAAATGAAGTCTGCATCTTTCAGACTCAGACTCAGCTAAGATTATTAAGCACCTCCTCTCTGACTGGCCATGTACTTGGCTTTTTCATGTATAGTTTCATTTAAGCCTCACAACAACTTATTATTTCTACAGGGAAACATCTTTGTTCAGCAACAATCCAAGCAACAGTTATGTGCCTGACACTTAACACTGAAGAGCAGCACACAAACATGAATCAGACGTACCCCTGGCCTCAAAGAGCTTACAATCTAATAAGAAAGGTAACTTACAACACAGGTCAGATGTAATAAATGACTTTAAAAGTGGAAGAAAGCAGCATAAAAGTTCAGATAAAGGAATCTTTTCAGCGTGATCACAGATGGCTTTGAAATGAGCCTTTAAAGACAGGCAAGATTTCAACAGTTAGAAATAACTATGGGCTAAGTGAATATTGTTTCAGCATGTTTTGGAAATTGCAAGTTTAGCTGAACAACAGTGTTCAAGATTAGGGAAGGCCAGGACAAAGAAAATGGGAGTTGATGAACACTCCCCGAGCCCTCAGCTGTATCTATATACTCTGCAAAAAATGGTATGAGTTTCTTTTCTAAGGATTCAAGTACAGCTGCTTTTACAGACACAGGCATTTGTAAATCAGATACTAATAAAACCCAGTATCACACACCAACTTTTAAGGGAAATCAAAATGAGTGAGTTCAGTGATTTCCGTTTTGCAAGAAATCAATTTAAAAGCTTGGCAGGGATTTTAACAATGCCAAGAGCAGTTTTACCCCATGACCTATGACTCTAAATTTCTTTTTCAAAATTTAAAACTTAAGGCTTTTCTTCTAAGCCTTCTGGACTGCACCAATTTTCTAGCCACACATTTTCCTATTCTTTAACTACTTTTGAATTTTAAAAGATACTCAGAAAATTAACTTCCAAGTGCCATTTATATGATGATTATTGTTAATTTTAACCTGTCAAGAAAGGACAACTTGAATTTTACAGCTTTTTGGTTCCCAATCCTCCAACACAATAAGTAGTACCAATTTTCAGTATTAGACGAGGAAAGGGGTTCAAATGTTGGGATACCGAGATGTTTTCCTTCTCATCCCTTGCAGCCTAACACTCTGCAGTAAATCCAAGATTAAATCAAAGGTTAGGCACTTTGCTCTGATATGTGGAAAAGACAAGAGCTTTTGAGTCAGTCAGACTGAGTGAGCCCAGTTCTACCAGGAAGAATTCTGTATGTAAGCTGGGGAAAGCCACTTCACTTTCTGAGTCTCAGGTTCACCATCTACAAAACGAGGGTATTACTAGCACCCACCCCCTAAAGCAGTTGGGAGGATTCAGTAAGATAACGCATAGAAAGTGCTACACAAATAAGCTCTCAGAGCAGGTTTTCTTCCTGGAACTAACTTAACAAAACGGCTTACAGCCTGTTAGCCCTTACAGCTCCCAGGCAGCGCACATTATGGGTGTATTAACAACTGTCTATTTAGTTCCCGGTCGGGGACGCTGGGCACTCTCGGATCCTGGGGAATAAGTCACACCCTCTAATCTTCCAGGGGGACCTAAGAACAGGTCCAGAGAACAGGAAGGGGAGTATGTCCGCACAGCGAGCACTGACGAGGATTCCACTCCCCTACCCCCGCGGCCCTGCGACATTTCTAACCCTAAAAGACACCAGGTTCAGGCCCGTGTCTGGCGGGGAAAGCCTGGTCCGGGTGCACGGCGGAGGGGAGAAGCCAAGTTCAGGGTTCCGTGAGGAAGAAAGCTGCCCCGGGCCCCCGTCTGACGAGAAACGCCCGGCCAGTGGTCCCCGAGTGAAGAAACAAGCTAGGTCGAGATTCTTGTCCAGCGGAGGTGGGGAGAACGTGGAGTCCGTAGCATCATCTATACCCGTACTCACCGAGGAGGCCGTGACGTCCAAAGGCTTTTTCCTCCGGTCCATGGTCGCGTCAGAGTGTCCCGGCCCAGAGCGAGCACTTCACGAACCCCGGCAGGCCTCATATACCTACTTCCGGCGCAACCGGAAGTGTCTTCAGGTTTGCGACGCTGTTTACGACACTGGCGCCATCTTGAGGTCAGGATGCGGTGCGCCTTGCATTCTTCACCATTTTGAGAAGGTCTGTTTGCTCCCAGGACCGAAGCTGCTAAGACCATCCTGAAGAGGGCGGAAGGTAACAGCTGGTGTTGGCGCCATATTGAGAAGGGCAGCATACGATTGCAGACCAATAGACGCCATCTTGAGTGGGGCGGATTTGGGGTGGCGATGGCGCCCTCTTCTGGGCGAGGGGCGGAGTGAACTAAAACGAACGTCTTCGGAGTAAAAAGAAAGATGAGTTAGTAGCGCTGAGATCGAAATACCATTTGAAGACCTACTGTGTGCCAAGCACTCACAATAATTTATTTAAATGCTCACAAGAGTCATATGAGATAAGGATGATCATGTTAATTTTAGTAGAAATAGCAACTATAGTAACAGCTAACATTAATATAGCGCTTACAGTGTGTCACGTTACATAGTTCAGCTGGTAAGAACCAGAACTCCAGAAGCCAACTTCCTGGGTTGGAATCACTCCTTCACCACTTATTGGCTCTGTGACTGAGGCGGGAAGCCCCATAAAACACATTTTTCTGCAACATGACCTTGGGAAACTTACCTTCTCTGTGCCTCAGTTTCCAAATGGGAATAAAGCAGTGTTTACTTCATGGGGTTCAGTGAGGATTAGAGGAAGTAAATGAGCTAGTTGATGAAAGTATTGGTTGTGGCAGGCAGACAAATAACCCCCGCCCAAGCTGTCCATCTTCTAACCCCCAGAACCCATGACTATTTTACCTTATATGGTAAAAGGGTGTTTACAGACGGGATTAAATGAAAGACTTTGAGATGATGAGGTTATCCAAATAGGCTCAATATAATCACAGGGGCCTTTATACGAGGGAGGCAGAAAGGTCAGAACCAACGAGAGAGACCAGAAGATGCGACACTGTGGGCTTTGAAGGGAGGATGGGACCGGTGCAGAGGAATGCAGGCAGCCACTAGTTGCTGGAAATGAGGAAGGAATGAGTCTTCCTCTAGATCCTCCTGGAAGCATGCAGCCCTGCTGATCCCTGGAGTTTAGCCTTGTAAGGCTTATTTCAGGCTTTCCACCTCCACAACTTTAAGAGAATAAATGTGTGTGGTTTTAAATCGCTAAGTCTGTGGTGTGCTACAGCAAGGTGGGAGTTATTATCCACTTTTTACGGAGGAGAAAATGAGGCCTGAGAGGTTAAGTGACACGCCAAAGGGCACTAGCCAGCTACCCAGTGATGGGGCCTGGAGTCAGAAAATAACTCAAAGACACTGAGTCAATTACTTGCATGCTCTTTACTTGTAGCTTTCCTCCAGAAGGGCTAGAAGAGGATTTACATAAAAGAAAGAGGATCCAGGGGAGAAGGAAAAGCCAAAGACAGGCTGGAAACCACGGACTTCAGTTTCCTTGCCCAGCCGGCCGCTAGCCGTGAGACCAGTCAGTGTTCTGATCTCGGGCTGCTGAAAAGAACTTGAAGCTGTCTGTGGACGCCCCAGAAGGCCTTGAGACTTCAGCTTCCTTTGCGTGACGCCTGTCAGTGTCCCTGCTGGCATCTCAGAGTTCATTAGGCAGGTTGGCACCATCATCCTCATCTAGCTGATTTTAATTCCCTTCCAAGCCATTTAAATTCCCAGGAGCAAACCAGGAAGTCCCCTCGCACACACCCAGGCCTGGGGAAGCTCGGACAGCTTCATCCTGGCTTGACCGGAATGCCCTTCTGGGACACCAGCCGGTTTTCACATAGTCTGTTCCTCAAATTCCCCTCTTCCTTCGATGCTTTCCAGACGTCTGGGTCTGCCTGGAATTGCCTTCCTCTTCCAAGTACAAAAATGGAGGTCACAGCCCTTCTGTTCTTTCCCAGACCACGCTCCCTTCCTGGGGTGTCATCTTCTAAACGGGCTACCGGGCCCCTTCATCTGGCACACGGGCCTGGGTTTGTTCTGGAAGAAGGGAGGGCACGCACCTTGTCTGGTGAAAAGCACAGGGTGTCCTCCCAGGACACCAGCTCAGCCCAGCTGCACCCTCTCATGACCTTGGGAACCTCACGTCATCCCTCTGAGTCTCAGTTCTCGCACCCACATGGGCACAGACATTTGAGGTAGAATGTGGAGACAGTTTGCAAGCTGAGAAGTGCTGTGCACGCAACTCTTGCAGGATCCAGAAGTTTCACTCAGCGCCAGTTTTCTCACTGCAGAAGGCACACGCCCTACGACAGTCTGGGCTGTGACGCGACATATTTTGCAGAGCTCTGAGCTCCAGCTCATCCCCCCACCCGTCTTGGGTCCCAGAGCGGGTGAGGCTGGGTGGGCAAGTAATTATCTTATTCCTTTTCTTCTCCTTCTGGATTTTAATTGCCAAATCTCCTAGGTCCTTTAAATAAAGGGAGAGAGGTAGCCTTTGGAAACACAGCAGTTATTTTCCTGTGAGCATGGCTGTTGAGGCCCACTCTTACTTTGAAAGGGGGCCCTGCAGTCATCTTCCTGCAGGAAGGTTCAGAGTGACAGGGTTGCAGGCTGTGACCTGGGCTGCTATTGTAGTGTTTTCACTGGAAATTAAGTCAAGAGGTTTCATTCAGCCCAGGCCCCTTGTGGCACGTGAATGATTTCTGTCCACTGAGGGTCCTGTTTCCTCACACTGAAAATGTCCCTCCCCCGTGTGTCTAGCCTCTGCGTCTTAACCTTCTTTCCTGTCTGCAGCACACTGCCTCTGATAATAAATTACTCAGCAGTGAATGAATTAGCCGAGCCCAATGTGGGAAAAAAGATTAGGCTGAAACTAAGGAAATTAGGTTCTAAGCATGATGAGCACAGGATGCAGGATGAAGATGCCGAAACTCGTGCCCTGGATGACAAAGAAGCTAAGCTTTATCAGCACCAGGAAGGAAATCTGTTTGGGGCCTTATTTCATTTAATCTCCACAACCTCAGGGGTAGGTGCTATTATTATCTTATTTTGCAGATAAGACAACTGAGGCCCAGAGATGTTAAGTAACTTGTCCAGGGTCACACAGCTAGTCTTGGCCCCAGGATTTGAACCCACGCAACCTAGTTCCAGGGCCTCACACTGTCCTCTCTCCGGGGATCCGAGACCACATTAGCTTTGCATTCATTCATTTATTCATTTATCCATTCAGCTCTACTGGGGAAGGGGGAAATTTTGTATAGGAGCTGGCCCCAGAATACTTCTGCAGGAGAGACCTGTCATTCGGTTATTGCAGGCCAATGGGACCAACCAGGTGAATGCCAGGAGGCCTGCTGGGGCAAGCTAGGACTGGACAAGGACCATTCAGTGCCCCGGAAAGCCCCGCTGAGTTTGCAAATCTGAAGGGACTGGATGGCGAGTGAGCCTCTTCCTGCAGCCTGAGAACTTGGTGCTTGAGGCCACAGGTGAAAGCAAGAGGTGCGAAGAACTCTACAGCCTTGAGAAAACTGCCAACAAAGAGGGCCCAAGCCCGGCCTCCCAACTTCAACCCAGCAGCTTGTCCCGAGCAGCAGTTGCTTTACCACTTTCAGCCCACCTAGTCCCACTGCATGTACAGAGGCAGCTGTGAGGGGCAGAGGGAGCCTGAAGCCCAGGCAAGGCTTCCAAGGATGAGGCACAGAGACCAAGTCAGGGGCCTGGCAAGGCTGGGGTAGGGGTATCCTTCAGCGGGTCTTGAAAGCCACAGAGTGGAAAAAAGCAGAGAAACAGAGGCTGGAGAAGCCAACAGCATCCCCCCTTGTCCTCTGGTCCCTCCTGCTGGTCCTGGGTTACGTTCCAAGGGCCAGCGTGGGTGGAAGTATATTGTCTTGCAGCCTGGAGGCTGGAAGTCCAGGATCAAGGTGTCATCACTGATATTACCCTTGGCAACCTGGCTTGAGGCATGATTTGCCAGGCTTTTCCACCAGAAAGTTATCCCTAACCCCTCTGCATGCCTGCTCTTCGGAAGCAAGGCACCTGGACCAGCCCGCTCTCAGGTACACACCTACATATTTTAACTCATTTAATTTTCACAATAACCTGACCTGGCAGGGACTTCAGATGCAGGAACTGAGACTCAGGGAGGTCAGGTGCCCACCTCCCGCCGCTCCTAGCACTCGGGGCTCCTGCGCCCACCTCTCCCCTCGCCTGCCAGCTTCTCTGCATCCTGCCTGTGGTCCTCACCCTTCATCCAGAGGTGGAAACCACCCAAGTTCCTTTGTGGCCCCAAGTCTGGTATGAGACCGTACTCGAAAGCAAGAGGCCCCAGATCATATCCCGTTTTGCAGGCACACATGGCTCCCGGGGCCTGGGGCCTGAGCTATTTACTGCAGGTGCCCTGCGGCCGGCTTTCATTTCCTGCATGGTCTAGACGGACACAGGCAGAGACAGCGGGACGGCGCCTGCCGGGGATGGACGTGACCCTCATGAGAGGGAAGCTGACCATGGCTGCGTCCCTCCTGGGTCCTGCAAGGGAGGGGCGGGTGGCCGGGAAGCCGGGCGTCAGCCTGGACCATGATTGTGGCAGGAGGGAGCTAGGATCGTGGTCTTCGATGGTTGGGGAAGAAGAGGACCATTGAGAGAGGGAGAAGCAGAGGCTGCCTGGGTGACCCAGGCTCTGTTCACGAGCCCATGTTCTCCATCCCTTCACTCCAAGGAGCCCCAGCACCCCGACTCTGTCTTCCTCCTCCCCAGGACCTCACCCTCAAAACGACGGCCGACCGTGCTCCCGCTTTTCTTCAAGCATTCTGTGTCCAGCACACACCTCGTAAGTGCCTGTGCGGAGCTGGGAACCATGCCAGGGGCTCTGCATATACCATCCCCCGTCAGCCACACAGCAGCCTTGGGCTGTGGGGCTTTTATGCCCATTTTACAGATGAGGAGACAGAGGCTTGGAGAGTGAAGGTGGCTCAATCCAGGGGCATCGCCTGCAGAGACTCCACTCTTTCCAGCCATGGTTCATTTACTCCTTCATTCAAAAGAGTTACTTTTGACCCCTGCACATGTGCCAGCTGGTGTGCTGGGTGCTGGAGGTACAGACATAAACAGGATGACATGGTGCTTGTCCTCCTATCCTCACATTCCAGGGAGGGGGCAGATCCCGCCCTCGCAGGAAGCCAGCACTCACCTCACCGCAGAGCACAGTCACCGCCAGGGAGGGGAACGCCGATGTGTGAGGGCAGAGGGGCTCTAGTGCAGGATGTGTGACGGGGCAGGTGACATTTAAACTGTCCCTGAATAACTGGAAGAGCGGGAGGAAAGGTATTTAAGGAAGAGGGAACGGCAGGGTGAAGGCTGTGGGTCTGAAGCAGGACTGGAAGGAAGGCAAGGTGATCGGAGTAAAGTGAACGGGGGAGAGGGGAGGATGCGAGGTCGGAGAGGTGGGCAGGGTCCCGGTCCTGCAGGGCCTTGTGGATCAAGGTCGGGGTCCAGAACTCAGCCTGGCTGTGATGGACGTTGTTGGAGGGTTTTAAGCAGGGCAATCAGTCTCTTCTCTCACGATGCCCATATTTTAGAACCGGGTCTCTGAACGTCGGTGCTATTGACACTCTGGGCTAAGCCTTCGTGGGGGCTGTTCGGGCTGGTCTGGGATCATAGCAGATTCAGCAGCGTGCCCACTAGATGCCAGGTGCAACTCCCTGCCCTCCTCCATGTCTAGATGATCAAAATGTCTTCAGACGTTACCAGATGCCACTTCTAGCCTCCTTGAGAACCAATGACTTACTGGTTTACTTGCTGCTGTCACGAAGTCTAACGCAGCTGGCCTGGTCAGTGATCTCTGGGCGGCTCCTCCACACGGTGATTGAGGGATGGGGGCTCCACCACATGGGAGCCCTCTGCTTACCCATGACAGGCAGGGAGGAGAGAGGACGAGGCCTGGACGTGAGCACGTGTGCCTTCCCCACCCACGGTCTGCTGGCCAGAACTCAGTCCCGTGGCCCCAACCTACCTGCAGGGAGGCTGGAAACATGCTCTCCTCATGCATCCAGGAGATGGAAACGGCTTTGGTAGCACAAAGCATCGCCCCTGCACGAGGAGCTCAGCTCCCTGAATGCTCACGACGTCCAAGCAGCAGCAGTTCCGTCTCTCCAACACTCACCTGTAACATGGGCCGGTGGTCGGAGGAGGGCACCGATGCCGGCTTCCCTGGACCTCCGCTGAAGCTGCCACATGTAGTTGATGGCTGGGGTCCATCTTGCCAGCATCTCAACCTCTTTTGCTAGCAAGAATCCTGGATTTTGTCTGGAGGGGCTGTCTCACACCCTCTGTCTAGGTGAAGGTCCCTGCCCAGGGGCTCAGGCCACCAAGCCTGGTTTAAGGCCTCTTCAGCCTGCTCGGTCAGCATAAGTCTCAAGATTTTGCTGAGGACGCCGTGACAGGGACTTCCCTTTCTCTGCTGGATCTGAACCTGATGCTGCAGGCAGCCCTCTTGTGACCAGGAGGGAACGTGGGTCTGAGAATGGAGCCAACCTAAAGAGAGCAGAGAAGACAGAGACAGAGTAAAACCAGGTGCAGGAGACCTCGGTGTCCTTCTGTCAAAGTGCTCTGGATCTCCGGCACACCCTGAACTTTCTAATTACACAGACCAGTCGGTTCCCGTCTTTCGTCCCTTGCAACCAGAGAAGCACCGAAATGACATCAGACATTTCCGCTTCAAGCCCAGAGCTACCTGGGAAATAGAAAGGGGCGGGACCTGCAGGAGCGCCGACCTGCGGACCCATCCCCAGGATGCCTGGGAATGCCAGAGCTGGAAGCAAGAAGCTGAGACCCAGAAACTGTTTGTAGTATCTCTGATGTCAGGACAAAGTTGTCCGACATGCAGCCTGGACTCAGAAGCTGAAATAAAGAAAGTAATACCTAACACCGTTCTGGCTTATGAATCACTAACCTAACCTGACCACAACGCTGAGAAGCAGTTACCTCTGAGAGCCCCATTTTACAGGCGAGGAGGCTCAGAGAGGCTAAGTGACGGACCCAAGGTCACCCAGCTAAAGATGGGAGGGTTGAGGCTCAAAAGCAGGTTTCTCTGACTGCACAGACCACGAGTTGCTTTGGTTTATTTCTACGTAAGAAATTCTAACTTCGTTCCCGAGCTTGTTTTAAAAAATAAAGGCAGGATAAATTCTATCGTGCTTTTTGTTTTCACCCAAGGCTGGGATTTATCAGGCTGTCCATCCAGGTCCCCCAGAGAAGGCTCAGGGAAGCCAGAGCGCCCCTCCCTTCTCCTCCCCGTTAGGGGCCTGTGTTGGGTAACAACGCCTTCCACGGAGAATACATATTTAAACACTCCCATGGCCTGAAACATCTGCTGCGCGGATGCTCGCCTTCCCTCCTGCAGGTGCGTGCTTCTGCGTGGGCGAGGCGGAGCATGCAGGAGACGCAATCTGAATGTAGGCAGATATTTGCACCCGACCGTCTAAGCATTTACAAGCCTTTGCAGAAGGAAGCCGGCAGCCCCAGGCATGGGGGACACGCCTCCTACAGGGATGGGGCGGTTGTGCCGTTGGCATCGAGAACGCGTGGGGTTGTGTTTCGGAGCTGAGCGTGCGTGCGCGGTGTGTGGGTGCGCACCCAGCTCGTGCGCCCACAGCCGGGCAGAACCGGGGGGCGAGCCTGGGGGCCCGCGCAGTGAGTCAGCCCGCTGCCGCCCAGGGAAGGGAAGCGGGCGGGGACGAAGTTTTCAGGGGAATGCTGCTTCCTGTTGCCTGGACGGGGGGGGGTGGGGGTCTCGTTCGTAGGTTAATTAGAAGGAAACAAGACCAGGTCAACGCCCCACTCCG